ACTATGATGGGTTTGGTGAGAAATGCTAAAGGTGATTCAAATGACTTTCGAATTCAAAAGGCATGGAGATATAATGCAACGCATTTACAGGATAGTTTAACATGCAGGTTATTGATGTATATGACAAACATTGTCAGAAAAATAATTTTAAAGTTAAGACTGCTTATGAAACTTCAGGCAGGATAATGATGAGTTATAAACTTCCCATAAGAGGTTCCTGTATTTAGCATAGTGGCACTTACAAATATGTAGCAAAAGCAACTGGAATATATATACGTACCAAGTACAAAAAAACATCCAGCAAAATAGTTAAACTCGCCTGGATTATTTTTGAAAATTGGATTATTCAGTAGACGACATATGTAACGCCATTCGTGAGAAGTAATGATCCAAAAGCATCCAGAATAAAACATGCAGTATGGTAATTAATTCAGGGGTCCTTGGTGCCGCTGACGTTTTTGTCACTTGCTCGGATCAGAACAATTGAATGAATCCAGATAATTGTGCGGTTGCCAATAAACGAGCCATCTAAAATGACCTTATGATTGCAGAAAACTTATAGCTAAAATTCACCGTATGTTTTTGTAATAGTGTCATCCTAGTTGTTTGGCAATGGAACTCGAAAATTGGAAATTAGGCAGGCAGTGGTCGGAAGAAAAAAGATATTACAGGATAGTGCATAGTTTAAGACAGAATGGGTTAAGTGAAGGAACACTAAGAATTAGATCCAGATAAATATTTAGTCATTGATTTCATGGTTAGCCAATGTATATTGAGGTTATTAGCAGGTCATATTTGCTAGAGCTTGATGTTAAAACCAGTTTGTTTCGCTGAAGCATGTTAATGCTATTAAAGCTTGTTAACGAACCATCAACGCTACTTAGTTAATGTAGATGATCAGTTTTTATTATTGATTAAGCTAGTAAGTTATGAGGAATAATCAAGATAGCGTTAAGATAATACATATGAGCATTAATCAGAGGACTGTTAGAGTAATGGGTTTAGATAAGTAAATATCGATCGAAAAAGTTAAAGTGGAAATATGGATGAAGAATTAGAGGTTGCGTTTCTTAAGTCAGGCTCACCAATGTAGAATTACGGTCTACTATGATAATAGCACTGCTCTAATAATAGACCCAATCCATAAATTGTAGAGTTGTCATGATGTAACTGCCTAATCTATAAGATCTTACGTGGAAGTTACATCATCGTCTACAGCAACTCATTGCACTGTAACAATTACCAATACGTGATAGAGAACAAGCTTAGGCTAGAGATAGAATATATTTAATATGAATAGAAGATACAAGATAACATTTAGCAGGAGGGACCACACCTGCAAGGCCGAGCCATGCCATCCGATGAACTCGGACACTTTCAATTTTTTATTATTCCCGCCTTCTCCATTCTTCTGTATTTCTCCGCGTTAAATGTTTAATGTCTATTTCTCATATTGTCTCGTGGTAGGGCCCAATGCCACTACAACCCCACGTCCAGAGCAGCAGACCACGCCGCCCCTGACTTCCAACGAGATTGCATTCTCACGAGGTGCGAAAGAGACTACCATCTCACGTTCCGGAAGCTGCGCATGCCTACTTGTACGCTTTCACGACTAACCTCTCAATCAACAACGGACGCGGTATAAGACTCTATCCCAATACTGCATGTACGCTACACCTTTCTCTTTTTCTTTGATCTTTTTATCCTGAGCCCGTGTCTTCGACCATCGCCCTGTTTGTAATGTCGACTTCAGTCAATTTTGGCGGAAGCTAGCCTGACCACTCATGCTCTTGTCAATGCACTCGGTCGATGTTTTGACTACGAATATACGTCTGGCATGCATATGGTTTCGTCCTACGTCTTCAGTGCTTTCTGGCCTGGACCCCTAAGAACGCAATCATCAGATTCTGGATACAAACCACTCCGGTGTGGTACGCTTATTCGAGCAACCAATATAGCATGTAAATTCCGGTACCGTCCTACATAGATCTTTGGTGACAACTCGAGGATCAACGATCGCTTCCTGTTTTGCCAACAGTTTCGTCCTATAGTTGCACGATTGTCGATCAGTCCCAAGAACGATATCGCCACGTATCGAAAGCGTAAGCCATTTTCTAGCTGGAGGCCCCTGTGGTGACCTACTTTTACAAAGAGAACGTGATTGGTATAATGGAAAGAATTATTATTATAACCAACTGTACCTGTTTGTTCAAATGTACCAAAAAGCACTCTCTTCCGTTATTTGTGACCTTGCACGAACTCTCGTACGCTCAGTAAACTCGCTTGTAGATTTTGGCACGATTTCGGTATTATTTCGATGCTAAGAGGCCGCCAGCAAATACACCATAACTACAACCTTCAACTGCCTTCTGATATTCAGCCTACGGAGAGGTCTAACCTAATAACTGGCACGTAGTCTATGGGTAGTGGTGACCACAGTCAGAACCGACCCAACGCCTTCTACAAGCGTTTTTTAGTGAGTTGGTTTTCCACGGGATGGCGTCCCTAACCCCATGTTCAGCCTTCCTGCTTCATACGGGCTTGGGACCGGCAGCAGACCCAAAGGTGTTTCGGGCGGTGCTAGGGAGGTTTCGTTAATGAATGCTGTGTATCGAAACGTGTTTGTGTATGCGTTCCCTTCCTTTCTTTGTTTCTGCGGCACGTAGGTATTATTAGACACATCTCTAACTGAAGGCAACACGTCACATCCATTCATCATATCACGTTTCAATACACCAAGGGACTCATCTCCGATAACTATCCAATATAAGTGTTGTACTTTATGATGCATCTATCATTAGTTCAAATATATATTTCTTCTCAAATATCCTCAATTTACTTAATAATTAGTTTTCAAATCACTTCGTTAAAAGACACTTGGATGATAGTATCATCAAATCTTGTGTAAGCAAGAGCACTTCAGTGTGAAATTCTGCTGGTTAGAAACTGTGAATATTGAAATTTCCACCCAAAAGGAGTGCTGGTGGCATGTTGTGTTATATTTTACAAACTAAATCGCGACCTTTACTTATATTTCGTCAGTACTGAGGGAAAATGTACGAGAGCATTATTATGCTTTATCGTCTTGTTTGTTAAGACATAAAACTAAGACCGTGCTTCTCCGTAATCAAACTATTTCGCTTATCACCAAGACATAATGCCCAAAAATAGTCTTCTTTGACGGTCAGAAACGTTCTGTGTTTGCCTATTATTTCCGCGAAATTTGCCTGGTACGTTACGCAGCGTGCTTAAGATCAGCATCATCCTAGTCTTATTTCGATTATTAGATGATAAGCATTATACACCAGTTTTCCGATCTTAAATCATAGTAACTTGACTTTAGTCAAGGGCATTACAATGAAAAAAAACGTTGGTAGTTTCTCACTCAAATAAGATTGCAGGTCAGTTGTATAAGTGGATCTTGCGGATGTGATTCTAACTGTATGGAATATCTGTTTGAAACTTGATGTTCTCAATTTTTGGTCCTCAAGAGCACAAATCGATATTGTTTTCATAAATTACTGAAACATAGAATTATAATTGCTCTTGAGGTCAGTACTGACCTAAATATATAGGTTTGCTGTAAACTAAAGACTATAATTTATGGACGAACCAGCAAGGTATGTGATAATAGGTTTCGGATATTGACTTGAAATTCACTCATCCAATTGGCTTAAATAGTTTTGACATTATAGCTGATATCATTTCGTGATGGAAACCCGAAATCTATTTCCTAAGATTAGTCATCAACTGTTAAACATAGTTCTAATTCCGCACACAGGTTTAAAACCCTCATTTGGTCATAGATATTAGTTGAACACTCAAGATCAGTCTAGCTTAGCTCAAAGGTTGTCCATAAAATAATGGTCTCACTGAATTCACTTACGTTTTCGTATCAACTCATCTTGAACTGCAAATCCGTTTCCTCTCCAGCGACAGATAATTTAACACCGTGGAACTGAACAAAAATAGGGCGAAGCATGTTTGGTGGATTTATATATTACTGATGATTACGACATATGCCGTTGTGCGTTACAAAAAGAACTGAAGTACATTCCTTAATTCTCATTAAGCAATTCTTAAATAGGCTATTCTGTTGCTTTCTTTCGATAATATGTTCGTGAAAAACTAGGGTATTTACCAAAGTAGCATGTAGGCTTGGTTGCATGGTGAGGAGTCACATGGAAAGGAAAGGAAAAAAACTCAAAATATTTGTTAAATCGTTGGTCCAAGTCTCTTTTTAGGATGCCATTGATGAAAACAAACCCATTGCTGCAAGGCTATAAACATTGGACCGAAGAAACTCCCGATAAAGGGATTTTGTAATTTAACCATGTTCTTAAATACATTTATATAGATGTTTGTTTCCTATTGAAACTACAATTGTCAGTCAGCTACAACGTAGGATCAGGCACATATATGCATCGGTCCAAGTTGCCATACCGCATTAGCACAAGATGAACACCGGATTCATAGAAGTAGTTAATTCAGTGGCGGTAATATATGAAAGAAAGATTGCATATAAGGAGATAGTACAAAAATAAAGAATTAGTTCGTAGAAAGAAAGATATAGAGCGATTTTAATCTCTTAGTTTGAAGGAAGATAGAGTGTATACACCGATGCCATTGTGATCGATTCTGAGCCATGTCACCAAGAATCTCCAACTATTGGTTACGATAGTCACATGGATCGTAATTAAGTAGTCTACATCTACCAACATGGCTCAGACCAGAAGTTAGTGACTTCAAGCACTGATGCCACGTTTTGGTTTGGCCGCCCCTAACTTTCTTCCAGTCATCCCTAACACCGGTTACCATTGCACGTCGTGGTAATCGGTGTTCAGGCATACGCAGCAAGTGGCCCAACCATCTCAATCGATGAAGGTTCATAACCTCATCAACTGATTTACCATCATTCCCTAATACCCTGCGTCTAACCTCACTATTACTTACCCGGTGATCCCAACAGCTACCTGCAATATTTCTAAGGCACCTGTGGTCAAATACTAGTAACTTACGAATATCTACTCTTAAAGGCCAAGTTTCGCAGCCGTATAGTAGAACGGAACGAACTGCCGCGAACAACAACTTGATGTACTCCATTTTAAACAAATTACATCATTTTAGGATTTATGATACTGTTTGGTCGTTCAGTCCGAAGTGGTGCTGTGTTTGAATCCACTGATTGAAAGCCGAATCCCTTACATATCTTTGCAGTAAATTAAATCATTCTGAAATAATCCACTATTTTACTTTCACCTATGTTATATGCGCACTTAGTTGTGTGACTGACCTTCATTTATTCAAGTTCAAATGCAAATTACGCATTGTTTTATGCATAAAACTGCCATGTGAAAGAACGTCATGTTTGTAAATCCCTTGGAAAAAAGGGTAATTAATTTTTAGGTTACTAAAATCTCATGCTACTCTTCTTTCTTACCTTCATTCCGATTTCACCATAGATATCCTCATGTATTTACCACTTGAAATTCCATAAACATTTTACAATTACGAAATTCTAGCTTAACAACTTGGAATCCTGAGACCACACAGCCTAGGCTAAATAATGCGTTATATGTACCACTCCTCTAGTATATTTATTCCTTGTAATATGTCATGCTCTACAAACTCTTTTGAATTCAGATCACTGACCCTTTCGTCCAATTGTTAAGTGGTGGTCCCACCCTTAAACTCAAAACTGATTTCTAATCGCTCAGTTCATATGATGGACGAGGATCCATTTTTTCACCGTTAGCATTGGTAACTATCAGAAGTTTCAGTGATCCAGACTAAGAAATTTTGCCAACTCTAATCCAACTAGGATTTGTGTACTTAAAACTAAATATTAACTACCGAGTAATTAGGAACGTAGTATTCTCCGTGTTCTGAGACCAGTTGTCTTTGGATTTGACCTGGTGTAAGTAATTTTGTTGAAAACTTAACTAATGTCAGTTAGCTCCTAATGTACGAATTTGTATATTTACCGTTTTAATATCGATTTTACAGGACAAGTAAATTTAATGAAAACAACTCATGGAAAATCGACAGCCCAAATATCTATTGACATTCTGAGTAAGACTTAGAAACCGACCACTAGTTCAATTTCTAATGAAACCTATAAATATTGATACCGGTAAACTTTTAGAGGCAAAACTTCCTGAAATGTAGTCATTCACTAAATTTTCTTGGTGATTCATCAAGGCGTGTATTTATAATTTATTGCCCATTTGGTCTTTTCTCTATAAGTTGCTGTCCGTACTGACTAATCATATAAGGTACTGATCCCTTTCAACCTCTTATGTTTCGTGATATTAAAGACACATAAGCTTCTAATCGTTGTAATTTACCAGTGCATATGCACTATGAGAAGTATCAAAAATAGTGTAACACTTAAAAGAAATAAGGTAGGAATAAAAAAACCAGCCACTTTCGTAAAGTGTATTCTCAAGGCTCATTATATTTGGGAGACGGTGTTGTGTTTATTTCAGATATGCTGATTCCCGTGATAATCTTTTGTGCGGACTGTGATAAAAGTTCAATACTGATAGTTTGAAGCTCAACAGAGTAGCAATTTTTGGGTTAAATTTGGAAGTTTTAGAACAATAATGTAAGATTTCAAGTTAGATTAACTGAGTCAGGGTTTGATAAATGATGTAAACTGTGGCGAGAAAAAATAGTTAAAGTGAAACAAATGTGACCAGACAATTAAAAATACTATAAAGAAAATGTTATCTCACGGCTCTAATCATTTTTCACTGTCACATACTCTTATATTCGTTGTTCTTGCTTATGAATGTTTTCCATAATGTTTCACAAAGCATAAAATATCCTTAATTCTCTTCTGAAAAGTAAGTGTACTAGATTTTATTTTATTGCTGTATCATAACTCTTGTTGATCGTCACATCATTTCAGTTTTATTGTATGTGCTGAGTTTACTCTACATTTTCTCTTCAGATATTCGTCTTAAACAAGTACATGTCGACCATTTCAATACCTAATTGTCCTTCACAATCAGCTTGATAGTACCCAAATTATCTAGGAGACACAAGCTAGAACTTCGTTTCAAGTTGTGACATACATTTTTGGATTACCTGGCAATCAAAAAATCTGTTTATAATGACCAAAAGTATTCGAAGTAAATCAAAAAGACGATTCCGTGCGATTAAACGTAGACGTAGCTTTAAGAAACTCAAGGATCAGTTGATAGAATCTACCAAAAAAAGTGAAGAAAACTCAGTCTCTTCCGAACAGTTGGTTGACTCAACTTCAAATCACATGGATAGTAAGATTACAATATGCTTTATTTGAACGTTCTAGTTGTTCCCAAAAGCTTGCCAAAAATACTGTGTAATGAACATGGAACCTACCCAGTGTGGCTAAGTAAAAAAGAACGCAAAAGACAAATAAAAATGAAAAGACTGCAGAAAAAACGGTATCGTCCTAAAAAGCCTAAAGTGTAAACTACATTACAAATGTTATAGTGTTTTCGTAATCTTATTAGTCTTTTGATATCACAACTGTATGTCAGCAGACTAAGTGCGTAAAAATGGATGAACGGTAAAAGCCCAAGTTCGCAACTAGTAGTAAGGCTTCGCGTGTCATTCACCGCTCTTTCAGGTTAATACACCATAATAAAGTGAGCTTAAACAAGTATATTATTGTGGGGCAGAAACAGTTGATTAAAGATATAGTCATCAAAAGGAAAGAAATACAAATCTCACGACAACCGGAATGAATCATTATTTCTGAAGGAGGTGGCAACTCACTGCTATCATCAAGGTAACAATATTATCCTTTCCACCTGAAAAAATTACCCCAAATCTATTACCAATATGTAGATAGGCTTTTGCATAAAACGCTTGCACTCAAAAGTATCTAATTCACTCAGCATTTTCCATGCCAAAATGACGACAACGAGGAAGCAAATATGGTAACTACACTTAGTAAGCATGCAAGAATTGATTGAAAGTCACAATTTTGTAAATGAGCCACTTTAAGATGAATTTCTGACACTAAAAACAGGTTATTAAGCAAAAAAGAAACTAGCTTTTTCCTAAATATAAAAACCTAGTTATAAATGAAATGCTCCATTTAAAGCAATTCATCAAATCGCATATATATCATTTTAACTAGGAAGACAGTTAACCAACATAGTCCGCAATATGACTCGTGACAACTAAATCTTACCTGAAAACATTTACAGAACATAAATTCTGACAATATGGTATCAACAATGCTTCATACCACTAAATGAATATTGTGGAGGTATTAGTAAGCTTCAAGACCCATAAGATACACTTTTAATATTTGTAGAAACATTTTTTGGAAAGATGTCGAGTAATTTAATAACTGACATAATGTTCTTGTCCACAATTAATTGCCATCATACTAATAACTTGCACTATGTTATGACTTGTTAAACGTGATAAACAAAAACTAATAAATATAAAGTCATTCACAACGTAGAACCTGGTGTGTACATACATCGATCCAAGTTCCCACATCTCGTTAGTACAAAGAGATGAAATTGTCAGGCCAACTTCCGGAATATTAGTGGTAGTAATAGTATCAGTGGTAATAGGAAAGATTGGGCATCGAAGATATGATTCGAGAGAATATAAATTAATGAAATAAAAAAATTTATGAGCAATAAAAAACCTTAGAATTTGAGCCATGTTATTCGAGGTAGCCTACACTTATTACCATTGCTCAGTCCAACTGTCGTTGACTTCATGGACCAAAGCTGTGTCTTGCCGCTCTTAGCTTCCTTTCAGCCTACGCCAAACAGTATCGCCCGTCGAGATAGGCAGTGATTGGGGATATGTCACGATCACCAACCGATTTGCCGTCCTTACCTAGTAGCCTATCCCTAATCTACACATTACTCACTCCGTGGATCCAAAATACACGAGCGATGCGTCGAAGACACCTATAATCGAATGCAAGTAACCCACGTATATCCTCTATTCTTAATGGACACATCCATAAAGTAGAACGAGGCAAGCTGGTTGTGAGACGGATATCTTGCCTATGCCACAGGTGACGCAAGTTGACAAAAGCTAGTCGGCATTTCGTCAAATATCAGAACTAAAGAGACTCCAAATAATTGAGGTGGTCAATAGGTTCGACTACTTCACTCTCTACTATTAATTTGGGCGCTGACGCAAGTTAATCCTGAAGTAGCATTTTGCATTTGGAGAGGTAGGTCGCATCTTAAGCATGTCTTCATTGTTGCTTAAGGTGGTCGGAAGACTGCATTTCGTCAGCGTCTTCACCGAACAGAACTGTCACCTGCGTCGACAAGTGGATCTCCTGATGGAAGAACAACTAAAAAACGTCAGACGATGAGAGTTATATCTAAAAGCATGTCTATGAAAAGAGTAAAATTGGGTAAAGTGGATAAACCCTGACGAACACCACTTGAAGAAATCAATTTCGATTACAGTTCTCCATAAACTCCGACTCCACCAGTAGTACTTGAGTAGAGACACTACAAGATTAATGTACTTCTTTGGTACGCCTTTTAATAACAGGACCTCACGGTCGACGGAGTCAAATGGCACCTTAAGGTCAAGGAATACAACTATAGTCGAACGATGAAAATATCATTGTCATAGCACTTCCTAAAGAGTGAGTACTTAGTCCATGCATCAACGTCCCCGTTTGAAACCAGCTTGGTTTTCTTATGTTCGCTCTTTAAATAGCTCCAGTTAGACGTCGAAGCTAGTAGTCTAAACACTATTAGTTAAACTGACACCTACGCAAGAGAATCTTTGTCATTTGTTGACTGGAACGATTAGTGATCGAGACCAGTCAGTTGGTATTGCCTCCAGATCCCTTATTCTAGTTAAGATTTCAGGTCATCTAATTGTTAAAACGGGACCACCATCCTTAAAAATCTCCGGAGTCAGTCTATGAGGCCTTGCTACTCTACGTCGCTTCAGATTACGTATAACCTCATTTAAATCAGTTTCTCATTCAGGTAGCTTTGAGATGTTGAAGGTCAATTTGTAGCATCTCTCCCTCACTTGGTATTTGTCCAACCCTTTAACTAACTTATTTAACGGGTGGTGTTATTCAAACAGCAACAATCGTCTATTTTTTGGTTATTATTATTTCTATCTTATCTGTATAAACATGTATGCTTGGTCACATGTAACAGCCTACGCATATACTCCTCACTCTACCTTAAATGTTAGTTGCTTTCCCATATATATGTGCTTGAATGTATTCGACTCTGAATCCACTTCTATATTCGCTTGCTCATGCATATTAGCTTTTCTAATCGAATTCGCTTGCTGTGTTTCTAACTGTTATCTGCGCTATCTAAGAATAAACTAGTCGGCACGCCGTGTTGCCTTCTTGATTTATACACCGTTGGGATTTATTTGACAACGGTTATCAGACTAATTGACCGAAGGTAAGAAGAGTCCGCCCTCCCTCTCGAATGGCCACATGTATACAGCCACTCCCGCGAAAGTCCTACTCACTGCCTTCTCGTGGCGGAAACGTCTACAAAATCGAGAGGACGAAAAGCGAATGTCCGGCACTTTAACCAGGTTAGTGAACACGGATGGTTCACCTAGGGGAGTTGGAAAACCTCACTGCCAAACCAAATAGCGCACGAACCCATTGTCGGTCACTGGTATATATATCAGATATATATATATATATATATATATATATATATATATATATATATATCAGACACAACTGTGCTATTTTGTCGAAAGATGTGTTGGACAAGTTTATGAACGTTTCGAAGCTTCTATATATCAACAAATTAGGCAGAGCGAGGGCATACAACCATCTCTCCGTTCCAGAAGTGGGGTTAGGCAGGGTTACCCAGTCAACTTTCCCATCGACCACATACTGGAAAAACCTCTGATGGAAATAGGTAGGTGTGGTGTAGATATATTACTTGAAGAAAGACTTTTCCATCTTGAGTATGCAGATAATATTGTCTTGACATACAAATTGCATTTAATGAGTCGACAATCAGTGTCCTCAAGTATTGTATGAACCTGTACCTTCTAAGTAAAAGGTACTTCTACAAGACTGGCATGAGCCTGTCTGCACTCACTCTTGGTGGTAAGTAATTGGAAGTCCCCGTATCTAGGTAGATTTGTGTTGGTAGTTGTTCGACTGAAGAGATTCGGACTTATGCCAATCTTAGACACTTTTGAAGTCATCATGATTTTAGTTCGGCTACAAAGCGTCAAGCCTAGAACGAGTCGGTGAGAACAGTTTCGTCAAATGTTTGAGAAGTCTAACCTCTCCGAGTTAGGAATGTCAGATGACTCTGTCTGGTAATCATCATCTCCAAGGAATTGCTAACATTTAGTGGTAACATCACATTAGTAATGTGATTAGAACTCACTTGATGTCACCAACCTTAAACACCGGATTCGATGACTTGAAAATGTTACGAATGTCAACCCAGCGCACGTTGATTGTCGACACTAGGAGTGGTTGAAAAAAGCGGTAGTCGGCTTATGACTTGGCACCGTAATGTGAAAGTCAGTATAGGATTGACATTTGTTAGTCAATTGCGACTCCTTGGTTAGAGTTACAGAGACAAACGGCGATCCTGCTGCGATTTTCTCCATAAACGAGAGGGGAATTTAACTAAAAGAATTCCGAATTTTCGTGTGTGCTATTGACTGAATTATATCTTTACCACATACAGTTCTTATTAATTATTTTGTTGACTATATTTTTCTTTCTAAATGTACTCCCTTTTCCTTACGATCTTACCCACATTTTGTGTGGTCACTCTATCTCTGGTACTGTTATACTATATTTTGTGCGCTTAAATAAATAATGTAAAATGTGTAGGTCCTGATTTGGACTCAAATAAATAAACCAATGTTTACAAAAGTAGTTTTATCCTACTTAATCGTACTTGAGTGATTTCAAAAGTCCAATTTTCCTCACCAGAGGTTATTACTTCGTAAAATTGAGGATTCTAAATAAAAGTCAGTTCTTATATTTATAACTGTACGGACATTGAGACCTTTAGGATAAGCATAATAAAAGTAAACGATACAAAATTGTCATGTAATCTTACAAAACACAATCGTGTTTACCAAACTGATGGTATTTTATTAAGTCCTAAAAGATTCATAAGCACTAACAACGATAAAATGATACATAAAGTACCTACCCTATTGTTTTCCTGAAAAAAAATCCATTAAAACAAATAGAATTTTTTGTATGTACAGATGCAATCTTCAACTTTTTAATGTCCAAGATTTAGGAAATAGAGACAAACTAAAAAAAATCTGAAGTGCAAAAGGAGTTATCGGGAAGTTTGAGTCCTAACAGAAAGAAAAGATCCTAAGGTTACTTGACGTAGTCTGCTCTCATTTAAAGCACTATTAGGAGAGTGATCATCCTGAATACTTCGTGTTGTAATGGATGTGTGCCTACGAGAAACACGAGTTGGTCCAGGTGTATTTGGAACGGCTTGAGATATTTGCGTCCGACGTC